TGGCGGTTGTTTGTAGATTTTACTCAGTTTTATTCACTTAACAGTATCTGTGATTCTTCAAGACCCTAGTTATGGCTTCTGATTTTTGCGACAGAAATCGATCTTAACTTTTTACATCTAGAATCCATCGTTGTGCTGATATGATCATACTAATTGTCAAGTCAACAACACGTTAAACATGAAAATAAAGATAACTGGTTACTGTACGATAATCACATCATGGAGATATATTTCATTGATCAAAATTAACTGATCAAGATAGTTTGTCCAGTTCACTATCTTAACTCAGTAGGTAATGTCAGAAGTGACCAATGATTTCACAAAAATCCCATTCTAAACAATTTTACTTTAACTTGAATTTATTTATCTATTTTCGTATCAATCTGTTTAGTTTTTTGGTTACAGCAACCTAATTTTATTTTTTGGCAATTTTTAAAAACTTCAGTTATGGTGACAAACCGGAAGACAGTCCATATCTTTGGGATAGAATGACTAAATATACGGAACTAACTGCAAAAATATTTCATGCAGTACGATTGGATAACTGTCATAGTACACCTCTTCACGTAGCACAATATATGATTGATAAGGCTAGAGCTATACGACCTAATTTGTATGTGGTTGCAGAATTATTCACTGGAGGCGAATATGTTGATAACATTTTCATCAATAAATTAGGTCTTAGTTCTTTAATACGAGGTAAAGTTTGTTGGATGATAATGATAGTATTTTGTTTTATTTCGTATTTCTTTATTGTATTCGATTGCATTTGTTGCTTACTGAGTTACTATCACTGTATGTAATTGTCATAAAGACCATATATGCTTCTTAAAATGGCACGAATCAGTTACCAGAAATAAATAATGTGACCAATTTATTCAACACTTATCGGTTTTAATCATCAAGGAATGGAATATAATTGCCAATTCAGGTAAAAAACAGAATAGTGGATGTTTTAGATTACCCAACAAGATACATCCTAAACATGAGTTTTCTATTCGTTGGCCATCAGTTTTCAAGTACTGACTAAATTAACATTCTTACTGGATGTTATCAATCCTTTGTACAGAATGGTAAGTAAACATATAATTACCGAACATTCTCAATTCGTAGAGGCTGGGTTTCACAGGAACAAAACGGAATTGCTCCCACCAAAACTTTTTAAACCCGACCTCTCATAGCCAGACTAACATCATGAAGGCGCCACAGATGGACCAACCTGGCATTAGCCTCTCTGGCTTCCACTAAACGTATATTAATCTCATCTGAAACGCCAACACCTATACTCTCACAACTACTCAGTTCCACAAACTGTTCGATTGCCAGCGGCTCATCACAAAGAGTGGGTGCCTGCATACGGTCCTGCCTGTCTTGCGAAAGTACTTTATATTTAGAAGGTGCAAAGTACGTACCATACCTACGAATATTGATTGCCAACTGATTACTTGCAGGTTGCACGGCTTGACCATCATTACACAGTAAGACAATATCGTTTACATGCTGAAAACCAAAACGTTTTTTCTCAAGTGACAAACACATCACCATTTACCTTCACCAGGATTGTTTCCAGAATGTCATTGATGGCATAATTAAAGAGGAATAGTGAGATTCTGTAACCGTTCCTGGAACAGAGCAGTGGAGAGAGGTGGTTTTCTGCCAACACTCTAGCTGAGATGTTTGCATATGGGGCCCTTTAGCTGTTAATAAGCTCCTCAGGCACATCTTTAATAGAGAATCTCAGAGTACAATCCTGTCAAACGCATAGAAGGCTTTACTAATATTAGGAAAAATAACATTTGGAGGAGGGTGAATGTATAGACAGTACCTTTGCGACCAAAAGGAAAACACGTCTGTTCTTCCTGAGTCGATCTTTCACGGATTTTGTACAACCTGCATAGTATGACAGAAGCCAATAGTTTGGATGCGCTCAGAAGTGGACTTATCCGTCTATAGTTGTTGCATCGTCGGCGTCAGCCCTTTTTAAGGATCTGTGGGACGGTGGCTACATTTCAAGGTGTTAGGACACCCACTAATTCTTAAAATTCCACAAACAACTCAGTAGGTTTAGTGATCAGGAGTTGGCTACCTTGGTTAAAATATCTGGAAATAATTCTTAAGGGCCTGGTGGTTGCGGGTGCTTGCAAGTTTCTTCCGTCTTGTTGGATTAATTAGTCAACATTATTCATGAAGGGCAGGACAGTCTGATCGATATTGTGGAGCAACAGACTAGGTGATCTGCTCAATTTGATTGTATTAATCCGTTTGGGACGAAAAGCCTGTTAGCCATCGAGATGTACGATAAGATTGGCGCAAATGAGGGCATGATCAAAGTTGAGACAAGTACCTAAAGATGAGCCGTAGTTTTGTACACAACAACGCCAGCGGTAGCTGATCGCGATGTGTTCAGTTTGAGTTCAGAATTTAAATGTAGAGTGAGGGGGTCGGGTAGCACATTGATGATGACTACCAATAGGAAGTTTTAGCTGGAAACAAGTTGTTGTTTATACAGAGCTGCGGCAGACGTTCACCGTTATCTGACCTGCGACCAATTAGTCTCCATTGGCCATCGAAGCGACTTTCCTCTGCTTAAATTTTCGACTTGTGCATTAAAGTCTATGGCTAACATTACAATATTTATCGAACACGTTTTCTTGAGATCGATTAATGCTGCTTCTGATCTGGCTCTCAGTGTGACAACAGTGCCAGCAGAATCGGACGGAGATGCCACAGGGTCTCCAGATGAACGCACGTGAAGCAAGCTTTTCTAATCTACAGATGCGAAGCGAACGTGTGATACTTCACTAAAGTCTTGGATGTGGGCTTCTAAAAAAATAAAAAAGTCGATGTCAAGAATTTCTAAAGCCAACCAAACCTGTCTGTTATCCGTTTCCCATTTGTATGTAAACGTTGATGGAGATCAGTTTAATGGTGCATGTTGTTTCAAGAAAGCTGATTCAGTTCACGTATTCGGTGATGGCATCTTAACTTTCGACTAGTCACTGATTTGATTTCGTCTAGATTGGATAAAACTCCCCCAAAGATGAAGTACTATATGAGTTGGAAAAACAACAGTGATCGCGGAATGGAAATAAAAAAAGTAGGAAGATAAAGAAGCGTTAAATGAATTTATACGTAATTAGGTAGTTGCGGATTTCCTTTATTTAAATAACGAGAGAGAATGAAAACGTTTTCTTCATTAATAATCATGTTCATAATTATTTATGGGCCAGGAAACTTCCCCGGTACTCAGTCCAAAACAGCTGGTTTCTTTGGTAGGCACTCTTCTAGCCTTTGATTCAAAGGTACAACCTACAAGGCAGTGGAGCAACGCCAGATATAATCTCATGGTAGCTGGTGACCAAGGGTAGGCTCATATACCATCCGACTCCTCTGGATCATGGAACCAAAGTGCAGTATTGGTTTGGAATTAGGGTTTTCCAACTTTCCCAAATATACCCTGTGTATCCACCAGCCCGATTTAATCTCTAAGCATTCTCTTTCCGCCCTTTCACTTCTGTAAAGAACACCCCCGTCACGAGATGAGTCGGACTTCCCTGGCAGTGACTATAATACGTGGCCATATGAGAGGACTCTCTCTGCCCTCGGCCGTATCAGGAGATTTTAGAGCTTCAAGTTTGTCGGTATGCTCTTCTGTTACAGTGTTTACAAAGAGACGTTTGTTTGCTGCAAATTTCGTGAATGATATTCAAATTTGTGAAGAAATACCCACTTCCCAGTTATCTGTATGCAATAATATTTTCGGTTAACATCTGGTCCATAAGTTTTAAATAAACGTTTCATAGGTCCGTATCTCACGTACCGGAAATCTACTACAGTTGGATACATAAACTAAGTACCTATTTTATTTTCCATGTGCTCTGGTTATTTTTCCGTGTTCAAAATGATATAATATCGTCTTCCTTAGGAACCAAACGTTTTGTAAGTGCTTTTTATTCTATCTCCATTAAAATCATTATTTTAGACCTGATTGGTTCACTCTTATACTATAACATTCTTTAGAATAAACAAGCAAATAATAAAAATTACTTTCACTTGTTAAAGCTTTCTCTATACATTCTTACAAGATTTACTTATTTCAAATCAATTACAATTTTAGAATCCCTATCAGCTTGTGACTGTCATGATTTAGGTCGACAAGTTCATCGATATGGTGCATCCCGACCTGCTGGAGCATTTTTTGAACGAGCCAGTGCACGTCGTCTATATCCGAGTGTATCACATGCTGTCTTCTATGATCAAACTCATGATAATCCAAGTGTATTGGAGAAACATTCTGTTTTTAATTATCTGCCTTTATCTGCAGTTGGATCGTTTGCTTGTTGTGCAATTGGTAGTACACGTGGTTATGATGAATTAGTCCCACATTATATTGATGTAGTTAAAGAGGAACGTTTCTATTCGCGATGGCCTGATCAAGTCAATTATAATATTGGTATAATTAAGCCAAAATCTATTTTAAATGAACTGCATAGTTGGTTATCATCTGAAGGATTTTCTGAAACATTTGTAGACCAAGTATGTAATTTATTATTATTATTATTATTACGATTTATTTCGTTTTTTTTGTTTAAAAAATGAATTATATTGAAACGTCCATTGATTATACAACGTTTTCCTTATTTAATACAACTTGTAACTGATTGATTGATTGACTGACTAATATGTCGTAAACATTTACACTGTAGTAAATAGGATAATGTTGAAACATTAGACCTTAGTGGTTATAGTACTAACCTTTCAAAGATTCACTCAATCTATTTGTTCATTTTAAGAAAACTGAATATTATCAGTACGTCCCATGCAAAAATGGGTGTGACTGAGAACTGAGTATATGAATCGGTACTCGAAATATAAGTAGTATTATTTTTTAGTACAGGAGATTTGTGGAGCTGATTGAATTATGTAATCCACATTATGGAAGGACCTTAGGTAGAATGCTATACTGCACAGTTACACAGTGTATAGTGTTAGAAATTCTCTCATACTGGAAGCTTTTTGTTTAACATAAGTTCTGATACCACAACACAGGTAACTAGACAGATGTACGAAATTAAGAATTTGAAACCTTTAATTTACCATCTTATGCCTATGAAATACCACCATAAAAAATATAATACTGTCTTGTAGTGTTATTTTTATCATAGAAATGTTTTCACTATGCAGTATAGTGTATCATTACTTTCAATATTATTTAAATGTCATCTTTCTCATAAACATTTATTGTCTTTTGTACAAATGCTTAGTCGTTAACGGCAATTGGTAAATTTATTTAAATCAGTTAAAAATTTCATTCGATAATTTGACTTAAGATGTCGATATAATAACAATGAAAACACTTGTTATCATTTTTTAAATATTTGTTCATTCTTTTTTAAAGATTACACCAAATGTATTAGGTGTGACACGTTTTTGTCCAGAAACTCGTGAAGCTGTCCTATTGATAACACATACAGCTTTTCATGATCCTGGACCTAATCCACACCATTCAGATTTTCATCCAATTCGGTTGGGTGGACGAGTGAATAGATTGTTATGTGAAATACTCTCGACATTTAAAGGGGATTATCCACCACAGAGAGATTTTAAAAAGAATCCACAGGTATGAATTATGTTGTTTCCGCTGTTTATCGTTTCACTTTAATAATACATAACAATGTCATTCTTTTGCCAAATCTAAATTTATGTGTTCAAGTCTGAGCTAATTTTCTGTGTAAATTTGTACAGTAGGCTAACTTAGCTACCTAAATCGCAGTTGGTTGAGCTGATTTTGAACCTATGACCTAATGAGTTTACTGTAAACTGATTATTCTAGATGATAATTCGCTGATTATATCGAATATGCGATTAGTGGATAAACATAATATAATATTTAATTTTTACAACTTAGTTAGTGAACAGACTACTGATCGAAAAATAATTGACCCATTAAAATAAAGGTCGCTTTTGATTGCCATAATGCCGTATACTAGATGACAATAAATGTATCTAGCATTTATCGAAGCTACATTGGTCCTGCTTAGATCTAACTTTCGATTGTAACTACAACCCGAAGAGAGCACTTACAGTGCCCATTTTGTATTCAAACATTAGTTTATTATTACTAAGTCAATTAGCAGTAGGTTTCTTTGTGCTAAATGATAAAATGATAACATTATGACATTTTATCACATAGAGATAATTTATAGAATGTATTTTTAGTTAACTATCGTATTTATTATGCCATTTGTTACTGACATTTTCCATTGATTTCAATAAATGATTAATTATCTAGTGCATAAATTATTTAAGGTCGTCGTTGCCTCTCAAAATGTGAACATTTATTACTTAATATATTTACTAACTTGTCAAACTACTGAGTTGAAATATTGTTAGCGTACTGAATCTAGTCCATGTATTCATTTATGTTGTAATGAGTATCAGGTTTTATACGACAAAGATGTATGAAACTCTTTGAAATTCTGGTTTTAACAGGTTATAGTAATTTAAACGCAGAAAATGGACCTGCATTTGAATAATAGCACAAGTAAACAGTATGAACGAACAGATAATTTAAAATTCCAACTAGACACAAAATGTTAGCTTTTGTTGGATTGTTTCTTGTGTATCGTACGGAGAAGTTGGATTTCAGTAATATCATTAAACCGTGGTATTTCTTGTATTGTGAAGAATCGAAAAATGCAAAATAAAAGTGTTATAATGTCACCATCTGTTTACGGTTGATGATTAATGAATTCTTGACTATAGTAATTGAGTAAATGCAACTCACTTGACTAGTAAAAGTTTATATGTTGGGCTTTGAATCATATTGTTTTATGTGGAAGCTAGCGATGATAGCTTGATACCCAGACCAAAGTAGTTAGATCCAGTTTCGGACGTGTGACCTGTTTGCTGGAAATTAAATGCTTTAATCATTAAATCAATTATAATTCCTTGTGGAATCAACCCTGCAAACTAAATGTGATATAGAAGGATTATCTGACTGATGATACTCTTTTAGCGAAGTAAACCTGTCTGTTTATCTGCAAAACTTTCACCCAGGTTGGCATGAATTGCTGTCTATGTATTGAGGTAACGAATAATTACTCAACAAGTAAATGAAAGTCATCAAAGCTGTCATTATCAGTAAGAATTATCGCACGCAATTCCCATCAAGCATATTGATGACGCTGGTTATCCGAAAAAATATATTTCCTTAATTATTTAGATAACTGTTATCAGAACTTTTACTCTTGTGATAACTTGTGGCCTGTGCGCCCTGCTAATGTATAAAGTAAGGATACCGCCAATCAGAGAGCATTGACTTATCGATCGGACCAATGACGCGTAAAACACGTGCGAGTAGTCTAGAGTCGTTATTGGTCCTGACTGACTGACTAGCCCAGCCAGTTAAGTCCAGAACACTAATCCGAGCCTCTGCGATATGAGTCGTTTATTTCAAGCATACTGGGTTTATAGACCAACCAGACAGACCACATCGTACCAATAAAATATAAAACAACATTTGTAAAAGAATTAGGCACATGTGGCTGTGAATGAGGGAGGTAGTAATTAATAGACAGGGCATAACTCAAGAATAGTAGATCGTATAATAATAGTTCATAGATCAAAATAAAGCTCATAATAAGAGGGACATGAATATGAACAGTTTAGTTATTTAACAACTATACGATAAAAATATACTCATAGCATTGGTCCATAAATGGATTCCAAAAGTTACCATTCATTATGCTTATCGGGACCTAACAACTCTTCAGCGTGTTTGTTGGTGATGTGTCCATAACACTCAGGAATCTATGTAACCTATGTTTGTGGGAACATTTTTTCTGGATTAGAATTGACCAATCTTGTTTGTTTCAAATCATCAATCACCACACAAATCAGATAATAAATAACATGCCTAATTTGGATCATCACAATTAATCGTGCTTTGTAAACCTGTTTTATTCTCTGTCCATATTGTATTCTTCATTGTCTAAACGTAAATTTAGTTGTTTAAAAGAGAGGCGCTAGTGCAGTTATATTTTTATATTCATACTATTCTTTCAAATGGAAATGTAGACATATTAAAAAACTTTTTTGAATTCAAAATGTCATGATACGAGATTTTAATAGTAAAACTTTAAAGTTAACATTCTCACCGACCATAGTATCTACACATTTTTCTTAACCAAAGATTAATTCATATCAGTCCTATTGTAGTTTGATATCATGAACCTATCGATGTTAGAACACCTTTGAAAACCCGGAACCACTGGACGGCCGTTTCGTCCTAGTGTACGACTGGTTTTCAGTAATGGTCTAACTTAGATCGAATCATGTTTTAAACTGATAATAATCATGTGCTCAACTTCGTAAAGAGTCGGAGGACCTACATTAACTTGACATTCAGGTTGACTGGAGATCGTGGGAAACCGAAGTGTGGCTGAAGGCCAGTTGAACTGATCCCTAAATTGTTCTGCCCATCGATCCAATCTCCTGGATTGATAATGTATAATATGTCCATATTTCTTTGAGATTGTTTCGCTAACAGTCGGGTTCCTAATACCGGTTTCCCTAACGAGTCTGAACAATTGTCTGCTATTACCTATTGCCGCTGCCTTTTCCATCTCTCTTGCTTTCGCTACCCACCACTGTTCACGATCATTGCGTAGACTTCTTGTCAGCTTGCGCTTAAGCTGACTCCGCTCTTCGTTATGTTCAGATCCAGATGGAATGAGTTTTCGAGCATCTATCAGTGCGGTAGATGCTGCTGAGATCCAGTGTTGCTCCCTAACCTTACGGTTTACCGTACTAGCAGATATCACTGCTGTTTCCACAGCTTTTCGGATATCATTCCATGCTGCCTCGGGGTGGGCATCACATACATGGCTGCCTAACTGTTTTTCTAGTTGTTCCTGAAATATACTCTTAGCTTGACTATCATTAAGTAGGGCCCTAAGAGGTTTCCTTGCAGGATCTTTCCTACGTCCAGTAAGACGCAAGCAAATACGCGCTCGCACTAGAGCATGATCTGAATCTAAGCATGTACTCCAGAATGAGCGACAGTCTTCTATCGAGCCCCTCCATCGGTGGCTGACAGCGATGTGATCTATTTGGGTCCAACGTTGAGAAGAATTAGGGGGTCGCCATGTTAAAAGATGTTTTTCCTTATGCTTAAAGTTAGTATTTGCAAGGAACAGGCGGTTATCTGAGCATAGCTGCAACAGACGGTCGCCATTATCTGTTCTTTGAGCCATGATGCTATAAGATCCACCTAGGTGTCTTTCTCTTCCGCTTAGTTTGCCTACTTGATCATTAAAGTCACCGGACACTATTAATACATCTGAGAGCCTAGCTTTTCGGAGAAGGTCGGAGAGCTTTCAGTAAAACTCATCTTTTACACCATCTGCGCTGCAGTCAGTGGGAGAATAGGCAGAGACGACGAAGAGGCAACGATAAGTGTCCTTATCTTTCCGGGTTCTTATTGTTCCGTTTAGTCGGACAGCGCACAAACGACTGTCTACTGGGAACCAGTCTAAGAGAGCTAGTTCTGCCCTACGGCTCGATGCTAAACCTACGCCGGCGAGTCCACAAGAAGCAGCGTCTGGGCTTACAGATACACGGAGTGTGAATCGAGTTGGTTCTTTATTTTGACATGGTAATGTCAAATGAATGACGCTACTCGGATCCTGTATGCGCGTTTCGGGGCCGCAGCACACATCGATGGCACGAGATTCTAAAGTCCTAGCTAAGGAAGCCTGTTGTCCTGTTTGGCACAGTGTTCGTATGTTAAAAGCTCCTACATGTAGTTTAGAGCATGGTTTCAGTAGACCAGGAATAACGTTCCGCGTACTCGAATCGTTTGTCCTAGCGGTGCAAGGTGAAAAAAGAGGTGAAAAGGGTTAGTCGGGGAGGTTAGAGTGATATTAAGAGGTGTAGGAAGGATTTGAATGTGACCAACTTGGTATCGTGTGCTGTTACTGTTTGATCTCACTTCTCGGCTGCCCACACCGTGGAAGGGTATTTCTTGAGGAACCTGAAGAGGAAGTTGGATTAATGTTGGCCTTAACGACCTGAGAACGTGACCGCAGAGCCCAGGGGCAACTGCTTGAGGCCGGTCGCGCACGGTTTTTTCGTGGTAGGTTTTTGACGTGTTAGCTCCATTCTTCAAAGGGCCTTACCGCCGGAGACGGAAATCCGTGAGGTGAGTTGTGAGATTCTTATTGTCAACCTTTTCTAACCCCTTCCTTCCTTGTGAGAAGGCAGCATCGCCGCAGATGCTGGTTGTCCGTTCTCCAATCGACCTGCCTGGCATGGTAGAACCTACTGGAACATATATTCCAGTCAATATAGCTCAGTTGGGTCATCACGACAGGCAAGCCCGGTGTTCGTCTTATTGTGCTAATAAGGTATGGCATCTTGGACCGATGTACATATGTGCCTGGTCCTAACGTTGTAGCTGACTGACTGAGTTACCCACCGAAGACAATGAAAGGTGGTCGCGCAATATTGTGGATTGATTGCAGTTAGACATTAACACCTTTAGATACCGGCCCAGTGGTCTAGATGTTATCCGTTCGCGCGTGAGACCTATGGCCCTAGGTTCGAATTCCGCTTGTGGGATCGTGAATGCACACTACTGAGTTGTTCCGTGCTAGGTCAAAACGGCCATCCAGTGCTTCCAGGTTTTCAGTGGTGGTCCAACATTGATTGGTTTATGATCTCAATTAAAACTCAACAATCTCCACAACCCTATATTGTTAATTTTTTATTTCTTTTCCCCTTTCCTTTTCCAGTATATAAATGGTTTAATGTGTATGAATTACTCAATTTTACAAAATGTACCAGCCACTGAAAGTAAAACATTTCGCGTAGAAAGTTACTCAGATGAACATGGTGTTATGGTGGATAGTTTAATATTTTACAATTTCCCACCGGGATCAGTTGTAATTGTTTCAATTAAATTAGATGATAGCCAACTACAAGCCATTGCTGATTTACATAATTTCATGTCCCAACAGGTTAGTTTAGTTTTGTACATGTGGTTGTTTATTTCATTATTATTTTTATTTCTATAACACCACTGTTGATAATAAAAGTCTACACAATTTTATTCGTAAAACTTCAAAATCAATCATTTGTAAAGAGTGTTTTAAAAATTCTACTGGCCAACTGCTTGAGTACCCTCTTATATCATAGTTATTGAGCGTTCATGCATCATTTTCGAAAATAAAGCCCATTATTGAGATATGTGACCGACGCTTAAAGGACGTATTTGAATATCTTTTCAGCGAATATTAATTAAAAGTCTTATATTTACAACACTTTGTTATAGCCATAAATCTAGTCTCTAAAAATGATGAATAGGTCATTATAACAATCACCTCCTTATTGTGATAAAAGTTTTCAGTGAAACTAATTTCTATAGGATTTTTTGAGACTTCACATATTCGATACTGATCTTGGCAATTATCATGCATTTGTTCAGAAGATTCTCTATTTTATTAATATCTTCAAATAGTCAGTCACCGTTTAAGAGGCAGTTTTATAAAAAAAAGCATGAGTTAAAATAATTTGACCCCACTTGATACATCTACAATTGTGTGAAAAAAATCTAATGAATGATTCTGATTGTAAGCTTTAATTTAAACTCTTTATAAACCTTCAAATGATTGGATATTTCAATAAACCGTATCATTTACTATGATATGTTTTCAGTTGTAAGTGGTTACCATATTGAGATCATATTTTTTAAAATCAAAATTTAATCTGTTGTAGGAGTCTTGAAAGCACTGATTTCACTTAATACTACTGGATTGCTGAATAAGTCTGTTATCCTATCCAAAGACAAGAAATCTTAACATTAAGTCAGTTATTTTACAGGGAGCGCAGTGTCATCTGATATAGGCGCAAGTCGTTGTAATCAATTTTTAAGGTCTCATTTTGTTGTTCATAAACTCTTGAAGTTGATACTGTTTCGCGATGGTTAGCAGTAGTAAAAAAAAGTGAAGAAAATAATCTTGACCATGATGAATTTGTGTATTTCGATGAAGTTCTGCCGGTTACTGGAGCTTCTCAGTTGTTCACGTTACAAACCTATACAAGTACTTGAAGAAGAAATCGGATTAATTTTTACGCAGCAGCGAAACCAAAAGCTAGTAATGATGCATGACAATTGTTGATGTAATATATTTTAACAGTTTAAACCATTTAGTAAATAATTAAACGACCGACTAAATAAAACTTTGTTTGAAAGTAAAATGTTGCAGTTTTAGGACTGGTATTTTCCGAGAATTTTTATTCATATTCTGTATCCAGTATCTATCATTGGAGAGATGTTAGTTACTCAAGGAAAACCTATTATCACATGAAATTTCTTTTCAATAGTCACTATGCACTGACGTTTTAAAAGATTTTATTCGACTTCTTTCATATAAACTTTTTGGACAAACTATCTCAACCAACTAGTATTTCAACTATTGGAATTTGACTAGTTCATCAAAATATGAAATCAATAATATCACAATCATTCAAGCTATGAGCAGAGGATTTATACTGGAGTCTTGTTTTTAGATTATTCTGATACCGTTGAATTTCAACTAGATTGTAATGCGTTCATGAAATATACATCTAGTTCCTAAGTCATTTTGGAAGTAAAGTTTCAGTTAATCAGACTGATACAACATAGAACCTGCGACATATGTTCACCAGCACAAGTTGCCACATCAGATCAGCACCGTAAGATGAAATTATCAAAATAAATAAGAAATTATTAGAAGTAGTAACACTATTTCTGGTTGTAACAACATTGAGCACAAAAAATATGTTTTGAGAAGAAAGAATGAATTCGTAAAATAAAAGTTATAAGTACTCCAAGATAAAGAGTGAGTAGATCCATTGTGACCAGTTCTATCGTTCAACGTCTTCAAACATTGCTTTTGTTGATCGTTTGGACCCCAACCAGTCAGTCTGCAACTATCAACATAGCTCAATCCATCTGTGCACGGCAACAACTAATCTTTTTAATTTTTTTTAATTTACATAAACTTTGTTACATAATTTATCAGAAGAAAAAAATCCTAGCTTATAAGCATACAGAGGCGTTAAGAAAAGACTCATATAAGCCTAATTCATTTGCATGCATATAGCTATTAGCAAATATTGTTTTGTTTATGTAACAGTCTCTATCTTCTTAACTGGGATATTTCTTTCACAAAGGTGTACATTAAATCAAACACTATGTAGTATTGGCCTAGTTCTTAGTCTTTGTATTCTATCTATTGTGTAACAATGTGGTCATTAAACTAAATGGTTCTATTTCGCATTGGATGTTGTTTGGATGTAAGATATCTAAGAGCAATCAATAGGTTTACAAATAACTTAATAACTAATTTGTATTTAGAGGAGATTCAGGACTAATGGTGTTCCAGAATTACTCGTCAAACTAAGTAGCGAAAATTGGTATCAAAATTACAAAATATTTCATTGGAGTTTTAATTCAACGTGACGTTACATATCAACGATTATTTGTACAGATTATATTTCATACAAAATGAAATGTAATTTCGTTGTATATTTTGTCACTTTAATGGATAAAATTGACAACTGGTTTTTCTTTTCGAAATTATTTCCTGATGAAAACAAACTAATTTCATCCAAGATGCTTGTTGACACAACCAATCATTTCAAGTTATAGAAATATTTTATTTTTACTTAACAATAACCATACAGGTTCTAAATAAAGCTATTACTCCTCCTTTTCACATATGACTTTAAGACACTGAATTGCAAATTGAAATGTTCTTCGTTTCCGTTTAGAGCAATCGAGTAGTATCGTTTGATATTTTATGATATCTTTATTTCATACGCACTGGTAATTGGTCATTAAACAATGTTTTCAATATTCCTTTTAATCGACTCTCTTTAGCCAATATACTGTCTTCATAGTATATTCTATTCTGTAAATTGTTGAACTTATTTGTTTACGTATACGTCGAGTAAATAAATCGTTAACACATACTTGGCAATCATTATCTCTTGTTCTTCTATATCCAGTTATAGTTTATTGCAATCGTAAATTCTCTTAATATTGATTCTTTCATTTACAGTTTGATTGTCGTTTATATGAACCTCGAACAAGTCAAGCTATGGGTAAAGGTGAAAATGCCTATATTCCTTTAAGTTTGCCATCAGGAAACAATTCGTTACTAAAGCCGAATTCGATCAGAGTTCTTTTAGGCAATATGAATTTATTGGAACTAAACAAATTACTCTTCAGATGTTCTGCTGAAGAATTAGCTGATGGATGTAACTTTAATTCGTATCAAATACCTGATTGGGGTTGGTTGGTTTATTGTGGGTTTCAAGTGAGTACTTCCATGCTTTTGTTAAACCTTTATGTGATTTAGCATTTTTTCAGCTTCCACCCATTAGGTCTCAAGTTCAAACTCTTATCTACCTACTTCTGTCCTGACTGTCATGTAGTTATCACTAGCCCTCAAAACAACTAGCATGTTTAAAGTAGTTACGTAAACTACTGGATGCCGGCCCAGTAATCTAAAGGTTAGGTGTGCGCCACGATTTAGGATTGTCTATCTATACTGCTAATGAGTCTCATTCCAGGACTATACATCTGTCCAATGCTTCTTGTTTTTTTAGTGGCCCCCTAACTCAAATCATCTCGTGATATAAACTATGAGAAGCACGTTTTGAGGTTGAATTCATAAAACTATACTTGGCAAACGAATCTCATTTCTACAGTTTTGATCTAAATTGAAAAAACTAATTTATTTAGACTGTGGAACAAGTAGAGAAATCTTCGTTGGTTTTAATTAGTCTCTGGATGACATTTAAATTATTCGAAGGTAAAGTGACATATTTCAAAAATGTATGATGAACAAATGATCATCCAATTGTTCTTCTAACATCAAAATGCATTCCACTGTTAACCACTATCCAAAATTACAAAAATACGTGTAATTAATTGACAATATTGAAGCGCTCTTTTCAAGATGTGCATACTCTAAAAAGTGGCTGATCACTTCCAGTCCTTAATGCCAACAGGAAGATGCAAACACTTATAAGTTCAATTGATTCTCGTTACATTATCCAGTGCTTATTTGAAATTAGTAGCGGATAGATTGGGCATATTGAAGTGAAATTTACTGGGTTCGAGTTTCATTGTGGATATCAACACTGAAATCCAGATAGAATCTAAATAGTGAGTCTCAAGCAGGACGAAACGTGCATCCTGGATTCCACATCTAGCCACTATCCGACTTCAATAAAATTAAAATGGATAGCTATATTTTCTCAAAAGTTATATACTGGTAATTATCACCATCAACACATAACTTTAGGTTTTCAAAGCTAGTAATTGCTTTATTCTTGTGTCCGTTAAATATTTCATTTAAGTTTACTAAGTAGTCCGATAGTAGAAGTAATAATCATGATAACACAACTAATTTTGAGGATAATTTATAACACCCTATAAGGAATTGGAGTCAGATCATGTCAGTGTGTTATCCTTTGACCTCTGGATTTTTGGATCCATTTCGAACATCTGTCATTTAACGATATTGCTCAGCCGTTATTTGTAGTTGTTTGTTATGTCTACATTAATATCGACATAGTTTAACTCCACCAGTCACGAAATTTCATTATCTCGTTTCTTCTAGTTTACATAATGAACGTGTCTTAGGCAGACAGTAATTGAAAATCAGGAAGTACTGAACAGCCGTTTCGTCCCAGTATGTGGTTTCTCAGCAGTACACATTGACAGTCCCATCAAAGATTGTAACCACCACCTTCAGTCTCGCTCATATGCTCTACAATCTCTACATACTGCCTAAGGTGTAGTGGTGAGCGCTTAAACTTTAGACCACAGTGGTGGAACCCACGGGTTTACATGTCTAACTTTAATCAATTCGTGTCGTTGTGCATCTATCTTGCACTGTTATTGATCGGTAACTATCTCACACTCTATATGGTTGACCTCCACCAGTCATAGCTTTTCACTTGAGTTTGAGGAGCTAACTTTCGTACTTAGTCAATAGCAAGCACGTAATTATTATTACTATGGCAGGTTTATAAAGATTTGTTTGCAAGACTTATTTTGAAATCTCCCTGTTATATTATTTGTCTGTTTTACTATATTTTTGCATGAATACCTTACGAAATTTTTAATTGTTCGATTATCTATGCTAATAATTATTTTCAGGTAGTTCTCATAAACTAACATTAGGGTTAATCGATAAATAGTAATTTTATCTTCAATGATGCTTCAATTAATATCGCTTGATACCGTAATTTGATGTGCAACATTTGTTTCGTTTGAAATGCATCTGTCTTATTCGACTCGTTTAAAGTTATGTAGTCGGACAAGGTGAAACATATTTTTATCCTGAACAATTTAGCATAGGAGTTATTGGTGAACACTAAAAAAATCCTGTTAGTAGGTTATAAACTTTCCACACCTCAATGCTATATACTATGATTAGTGGCTTTAAGTTCCTTTTTGAATAAGTATGTTTTAACTGAAATACTCTATTGTGAATCCACGAGCATTCTTATTATCTGACCTAAATGAGATAACTGAAGTTCTCAGCTGACTAGCATCGTCCCCACAGAGATTTTGCAGTTTCATATTTATCCAATAAAGGAATTGTTATTATGTACTATTAAAAACCTGTAAATTAAACAGAAAAATTTGTTTTATGAATGGAAAATATGTAGCTTGTAAATAAATGTTGTCGATATCAAGTTTAAACTCATTAAAATTTTTAAACTGTGTGAGTCTTAGAAAAACTAATTAATACATTTTTATTATTCTTTAAGACCGTTCAGTCTCTTTGCTACTGAATGTAATTGTACCACGTAGTACATGTTGAACATCAATAATATTTGTTTGTAATCAGAATACATTTTTTTATACTAACATCACTGAGGGTAGTACTGTTGTTTTCATGTTCTGTATGTAATTTTATAGGGCTAGAAGAAGCCCTTGTATATAATAGTTAACCGTTGAAAGCGAAGGCAGCCTACTTGAATATCTGAGCTACATGTTCCTGTCATTTAAATATTTCAGCAAGTTATCTGTTTTTTAAAACTTTTTTTAACACCTCAATATGTCTATTAATCACATAACATATTCGGGCGCGTTTATGAAAGTTCTATGACCTTTCTCTGTACAAGTTACAAGAAAGTGCGATCAGTGACATCGTGGTGGTTGGCAATATGAACTGAAGAGAATGAACATTAATCATATGTCGATACCTGAACTGCTAAATTCTAACTGCCGATCCCTAATTAGCAAGATGAACTATCTTCAATTCCTACTAAGTCAAAACATGTATCGTAATTCTGGTGTCATCACAATTCAAGGATCTTGGTTAACTGATTTACAGGACGATTGCCTAGTATCACTACGTGATTTCAATATCTATCGTCAGGATCTATCAAGCAATAAAAAGAGGTTTGGCGGCGTTGTAGCCACGTTTGTAAACGTGAATGGTGTCGACCTACTTTTACATGTTTCAAATTTCCAAACGACTTTATTGGCTGTTGAACTTTAAGTTGTCGTCCAAAACACTTAAATACAAACAAATATGTTTATGTTACCAACATCTACGTGACTGCAGACTGCACATCATCTGCACTATCTGCTTTCGCTGGTGAATTCACTGAATTTGCTGTTATTGTTTTCAGTGGTTCATTTTCAATTATATGTAGTGATTTCAATACATGTGACTGTAGCTTTCTTTGATCACTAGGCCACCAAAATGTAGTACATTTTCCTATTCTTAATGATGCTCATTTAGACTTAATTTTCAATTATGGTGTGGGTACATATGTAACTCTTAAACGTGCTCTGTTGTCTAGCTTGGACCACTGTATAATTCGTGTTCAACCTAGAGTATATGGAAAGTGTGGAATGAGAACACACTTACATCAGACCAAAAAAGTCAGACACAGGAATTACCCAGAGGAAAATATCCAAAAGTTGAAAAGCATGTTTCCTGCACCTACCGGGGATTATTTATAGATGACTCATTGAAAAACACCGTTGATGTTATCACTTGTTATCTTAAGATCTGTTTTGATTTTTGTTGTCCCATGGAAACCATTTTTGTAAGTTTCGATCAACTTACATCTCCACAACTAAAACAACTACGAAGGGTGAAAGAAAGAAAGTACAAGGAGAAAAACTCTATTGAAGTTAGTAACCTAAATGGTCTAATAGACCTAGAGATTAGACGTCTCAACTCTATGTTTACTCAAAAACTCCTATCTTCTAAATGCTCTTCATGTATGTGAAAACTCTTTAAAGAACTTACAATTGACAGACACATTAGAAGCGATAGCCAGCTGAATGTTTGTTACTTAAATAAGTCTTTTGTACGTCAGCTGATGTAATGCTCCCTATATCCACAAGTTTGAAGAATGGTTGTGTTCCTAGTTTTACTGAAACTCGTGTCCGAAGATATCTCCAGTCACCTAATTCATCCAGATGTTTAGGACCTGATGGTATCCCAAACCTCCTTTTTAAAAAAATGTGCTGACGTCCTATGTTATCCATTCACGACTATCTTTAACAGATCCTTCTCATCTAATCTCATACCGAAAATGTGGAGAAAGATGAAGATAATCCCTGTGCCCAAGAAAGTATCTGGTGATGAGAATGTGAAATTTAGACCTATTGCAATAACTTCACCCTTCCTCAAAACAATGGAAAAATTATTAATACTTCCACTTCAGCCTGCGATAAAACAGCTTATTGATCCGTATCACTTTGCCTACAGATGCAAAAGAAGCACCTTAGATGCTGTGGTTGTTCTGCATCACAATATAGTGTTCAACTTAGAAATGGGTAAGTAGTATGTTCGATGCGCTTTTCTGCACTATACTTCAGCTTTTGATTCTATACCAAGACAACATTTACTTAACAAGTTAATCAGCGTCAACACTGAAAGCTGGATAACCAACTGGCTATGTTTCTACCTCTCTGGAAAAGAACAGTACATCGTGTTTGGAGGAAAGTGTTCGACGTCTCTACTGTCTCATGAAGGCGTGCCAGAAGGAGCCGTTCTTTCCCGTCTTTTTTTCTCTTTTTTCGAATGATCTGCCATCTTCCACAGAAAACAATTTTGTGAAATATGCGGACAGTTTCAATGTATGTATGCCGATTTCTACCTCTTTACATCCCATAGAAATGAATTGGATTTGTCTCGTGTTGAATGGTGGCATGTTGTTAATGGTCTCATACTTAATCCGTCTAAATGTCAAACTGTTATCTTTAACCTGAGAGGTGAACAGCACCTAAACACCGTGTTGGCAGCCCATAATGCTTGTACCATTGGAGGTTCTT